CTGGACTCTGCATCCATTCAAAGGACCCCTGGCTGGCTCTGCTGAAAGGATCTGCCTCTCTTCAATTAAGCAGTGTTTTTCCAGCTGCTATTGTCTCATCTTTTATGAGGAAAACTTTCATAGACTTTTTCTAGTTCATATGATTTTCCCATGGCAAAAACTACTTTGAAAAGAAAAAATATCAAAGCAATGCCCATTTTTTTTGTTTTAAGGAAAAGCTTCAATAGGTTATTTTCCCCCTAAGCCTTGGTAGCCATTCTTGCTTTAATTTGAGCAAGGCTTATAGCAGTCAAAGTTATACTTGTGTTTACTTGACTTGAGGTAGACAGGACTAATCCTGCTTAAAACTGAACTAAGAATATCTACATAGTTTAATGAAATGGATTAAAGTTTACCTCATATTAAACATTAATAATCTGTCTTGTTCAGACAAGCCCTGGGAGGCTGGAGCAACATAATTCATTTGCCTTCATTGAAATTTCCTTGAAAAGAAGCAAATTAGGCACTTGTGTAGCGGGCAGGGCCCTTTGATATAATGGTGTGCTCACAAGAGATCTGGCTCCCTTCCTCTGTTGGATGAAAAGAGTTTCTTTTCTTAGATTTTATTTTATTTCTGAGTGCCTTATTAAAACAGCACAACTCTTCCTGTTCCATTTGTGAGGTTTCTTTAGGGAACAGCTCAGCCTAGCACGAATTAAATGCTCCTTCAATTAATTTATATCTCTGAATGGCCTCAGCTGGCACGCGCTCATGCCACACACCTGGAGATGGAGATGTCAAAGTTTGGGTGGAAAGCCAAGATGGTCACACTGGTTCCTGCACAAAGCAATGGCTTTGTGAGGGAAGTCACATTGTTTCAAGGTATACTGTGGCTTTAATTGCTTTAAAGAGCAGGCTGAATTCCTACCGGTTCCTATTTGTTCCATCCATCTGTGTGTGTGTATGTGCATTTAGAGGCATGGTTAGTGGGCATGGTGGTGATGGGTTGATGTTCAGACTGAGTGTTGTTAGAGGTCTTTTCTAACCTTAATGATTTCTTTATATGTTGGCGTTTTCGTGCTTCTCCTCAAATTTCTGCTGACACTTGGGAACACCAAAAGGTGTTTTTCTTCCACAACCACCCATTGTTCTGCTAGTTATGAACCCTCAGCACACAACGAGATCAAACCCTGCAGAATTCACGCCTTTGCTACCACCTGGCAGCCTCCCACTTCACGTGCACCAAAACAGCGCCGAGAGTCACTTGGTGAGCGATGGAAAAAAAACCAAAACATCAACACGAGATTGTTCTATTCCGGGGAAAGCACAAAAAAATGAAAGGTTCAGTACGTCCCCACCACTATATATTAAAAGCAGTGCTGCCTTTGAGCTACTGCTGCGGTTGCAGTCGGCGGCTCTTGAGCAGGGCAGGAACCGGCAGAACGGGACTTTCGAAGGAACCCAAAGGACTCCGGGAGATTTTCCTCCTGACTTCGCTCCCTTCTAGCTACAGATAGGACTGGGCAGGTCTCTGTCACAACCAGTCTGATCAGTGCTACCCAAACACAGCATAGGTGTAGTCTGTGCCCCGAGGAAATCAGAACTTCAGACAAGCTCATGCAGGCACTCCCACGCCAGCTGGTGCCAGTGGGGGTGGCGTGAAGGTGATAGTTGAAAGTCATTGGGTTTTGTGGTTGGTTTGTGTGTGTGTGTGTGTGTTTTCTTTTCCCTCGCTGAATCAACAGGGAGTTGTTTTCGACCTTCTGTTTCCTTCAGTGAAGGTGGAAGCTTGTCTTCAGGCTTGGTGAGAAGAAAGGTTGGGCACAAGGCTGTGCCAGGAGCATCACCTGGCACCCTGGGAATGAGCACATGGAGGCTTGGAGGAGCCAAGCAGCAGCTTGGGTCCATGAGAAGGTGCCCAGATCCATGAGGAGGTGATCAGATCCATGTGGAGGTGTCCAGGTCCACGAGAAGGTGCCCAGCTCCTGTTTACAGGAGTGGTTCACTTCATGCATGAAACTTGAACTAGGCTCTAGAGGTGAGCTAAACCCCAGTGAGGCTGCAGGAACTCAGTCCTGCTTGTCTTCCAGCTACAAACAGCTGGATGAAGCCTTCAGACACCCAGACCAGGGCAGGCTTGGAGCAGGGGCTGCAGGTCTCTGCTTGCAGCATGGATCTAGTCCCTCCCCCTCCTTATTGAAAAGCCTCCTAACCGAAAATCATGGAGCAGAAGTTCAACAGCTTCAACAGCTGCAGGCTGCCAAACATTCTTGCTGAGTGAGGCTGTTTGGGCACACCGAAAGATGGCTGAACCTGGGGCTTGCGTAAACCTTTCTTACCTGGAACAAAAGATCTGCTTCCATGGCAGTCAGGTGCATGCATGAATGGGGTGAAAACAGGCTCAACCGGTCCCTGTGCAAAAAAAGACAGGTTTGACTGGAAGGGCTGCTTGTGCAGAAAGGGCCTGCCAGCATCAAAGGCAGATGTGCTGGGTGCTGCACAGCACGATTTGTATCTGCCGGAGCAGAGCCCAGTTTTACAGCACTGAAGGCCACAACTGGCAGCCAGCCTCAGGCTCCAGCAACGCACCTGGTTTGCATAAACGCGTCTGAGTCCATCCATCCATCCAACTCCCCAGGAGAGCTGCAGCACCAAAACCCCAGTGCTGCCCGTGCCAGCCAGCTGCAGCCCTGTGGCTGCTCACTGCCCATGTTAAGGATCTAACCCTGCAAGGTGCAAGCACAGATGTTCTTCACCTGAAGAAGTGGTTGCTTTCAGATCCTAGTGCTGATATGATTTGGTTTTGTTTTCCATTTCACCCATTTCTCTTTCACTTCCTTCCTGCCCTGCAGGAAGAGATGGCAATAAATATGTCCCTTCACCTGCTCCTCCTGATCAGAGGTGGCAGCTCCTGGAGCCACAGGACAAACCCTGAACAGTCCCTGGAGAGGAAAGAGCTGAGGTGGATGGGACATGGGGGAAACAATGGGTAAACCCCCAGCATCTGATCACCTCCCATGCTGCTCTGTGCCCTCCTGTCCCCCATCCACCTATGCACACATTTTCATGCACCCATCACCACCGAAGCTCCTATTTTACATGTAGGACAGGTGGAGATTTACTGACTTTTTCCACATGCAATAAAATAGTACTACTAATTACGATAATAACAGCAAGTGCTAGCTGCACTCTGCCTGCTTAATTTCCACCTGCTGTTTATTTTCAGTTTGATGTGGTATTTGCTTCCTGTCATGCATTCTTGCAAATCGTTTCAGTGCCGCCTTATCTTGCCTATGTGGTTCACCCAAGGAGTGGCCGAAACGTGGCTCTGACCAAGGGTGACACCAAGGAGGAGTTCCTGTTCTTCTCATCTCCTGTAGGAGGGGAAAAAATTGAAATTTCTCTTTTCACCTTCCACCTACATCTTTGCAATCCATCAAGCTGCAAGGATTTTTGTCCAGCTGCAAAGCATCTGTTCTTCATGGAGAGGTGTTGGCACAGCTGTAAGCCCTACAAGGATCAGGTTAAGGGGCTTTGGGCTTTTTGTTCTTAGATAGTATTTCTTTAAAGCTTGGAATATTGGTAAAGAGTAAGAAATGCAATCAATAAAAAGAGATGCGCTCAAAGCCTCAGCATCACCACAAGCAGCTCAGTGCAAACCAAGGACTGCATCCATCACATCCTTCCCAATCAGGAGCTGGTGGGTCCTTCTCACATCCATCTACAGTGGCATTGGGTCCCTTGCATCTAACTGCCCCAGTGTACAAAGTCCCAAAGGGTGACCCCCATTTCCCCAGCAGATCCCCGAGGGGCTCAAACCCAAAAGCAGGAAGCAAGGCACACTGAGCTATTTTAGTTGTGTTATGAGCTTTTATTTAAAAAGCACATTTATACAGCAATAATTTCGCAGATACAAACTTTCATTTTGTATTCTACAAAAGTCTTTGAATATTCTTCTCTTTACAAAATGGAACATTACAAAAATACAGACAATTTAATATGATTTTTTTTTATACAAATGTCTCTAATTGTAGTTATTTTCATTAAAATATTACTACCACAGAACTACAATATTTTAGTCGACTATAAAAAAAATTAATTCAATGCTTCTTTAAGCAGCAAAATGTAAATAACACAGGTCAGGACACAGTTTATAGTCATAGTGGATATATCTAAAATTGTTTCAGAAATAATATTTTACATAGTTAATTTTTAAGGTTTTATACATTATTTATATAATATTTATATATAAAAAAAAATCATAGCTTGCTGTAGTTGAAATGATAGGACGGATTCTGTAAGAAGGATGTGCAAATGGCCATTCTGCATGCTTTATGTGATCCCTTTGCAAATGCGCTCTGTGAAAAGATCTGCAAGCCAAAAACTTGTGGTTTCTGGGCAAAAAAAAAAAAAAAATAATAATAATAATCCTACAAATCACACTGGGTAGAGGCACAGCTGGCTTCCCACTGGTGTCATCAAGCAGAGCACCAGGATGCCAATGGGAAAAATGGGGGTGGGGAGGATGTACAAACGGACTGGACACCCAGGCTGGGACGTGCCGCCCAGCAGCCCGTCCCAAAAGGGCAGAATTCAAGGTTCCCCAGGACTCAGCCCTGAGGTCGAAGTGCGAACAGGTCTCCAGCCAAGCCGCCGCTACCCAAACCGTGAGCGTGCAGAACGCCTGCTGCCATTCAGAGGGGGGAGGACCGGGAAGCAGAGGATGCTCTTTTCCATTTTAGGGCCATTTGCAGCTGCTGCGCACGCCCGGTCGGCTCAGGATGAAGCCTCGCCAGGAAGCGAGCGAGAAGGAAGAAATGTGGGTTTGTGATCCGAGGGTACATTTGTTCAGCCTCGCCGTTCATCTCAGGACTGCTTGTGAAAGGTGTGTGGTTTGAACAGAGACCCTCCGGAGATCCTCAGCTGGGCAAGCTCCTTCTATACTAAGTCACAGTATGGAAAAGAGGAGGCAGAAACAAACTAAGAAAAAAAAATAGCAACTCTTACAAACCAATCCCAGATCTTGACTCAGTGCTGTTGCTCGTCTGTAGTGCTATATAATTTGTGAGTTGTTTTTTTTTTTCCTTGCCTGCATTAGAAATCTTCATCGTCAAAAATAATAATTAAAAAACAAAACAAAACAAAACACAACCGAGATGGCCAGCTTTCCAAAATCCCTTAGTGTTCTTTACGCTATGAACAATTTGGCGTTCACTACAACATGAACACTCAAACCAATTGCACATCCAGAACTCCGGCACCTCTTTGCTTGCTCGGCTTTTTGCTGGGTGTTTGTTTCTCACTGTTGCTTTTAGTTGATCACCACCACTCCTTTCCTCCAAATGTCGTGAGTTGAAAAAGACCACAGAGTAAGACTTTACCGGTCGGGCAAGAAAGTCTCTCCCTACATTCTACTGTCTGATGAGATTTGAGAGCAGCAGGTAGTTGCTGTCAGCAGTCATTTTTGCAAAAAAATAAAAAATAAAATACAACACCAATCCGATTGCTCAAAGGCCTACACCATGTTGTGATGGTTATTGCGTTCGATGATGTCCACAGGTGAGAGGATCTCCTTCCGGATGGGGGGTGGAGGCAGGCAGGTCTTGGGCTTGGGCTTGAAGAGGTCAGAGACATAAAACACCTGTGGGAACAAGAGGGAGGGTAAGCTTAGCCCCACTGGGTGATGCTTCATTCAACAGAACACACAGTTATTTAGGTTCAAACACCTGTTGTGCAACTGAATTCCTTCAGAGAGCCCCCGATCTCAAGCGCCTGCTACCACCTTTCCTTACAAGATGGAAAAAGGTTCAGATGGCAGAAAACAGCATAAAAATATGATGAAAAACAGAATGGCTTGGGTTGGAAGGGAGCCCAACGATCATCAAGGTCCAAACCCCCCTGGCACAGACAGGGCCACTGACCTCCAGAAATGAATGGTTCAAAATGGATGACGGATCCATTTCATTTATCGCATTGGCGAGAGCGATACCCCAACCTCTGTGAACGGGGTGAAAAGCCAGGAAACAGATACACAGCTCACACTCACAAAAAAACAAAGGTCTCCAGCCAGCCTGACTCATGCTGCTGTTTTAGGGTTGGGATCAGTGTGAAACAACACATTCAGGCAGACATCAGGTAGACCTGAAAAGACTTCAAATCCAAGCCACACTAAAAGCTACATGCAACAAACCCATGGTGAGCAACGCTCTCTTCTTGTCCCTTTCCCCACCCCACAGGGAAGAGAGGAGGAGCCATTCCCAACAACTATTTCCTAAATATCCCGTGATGTCAGCCTTCTCCCGGATGTGAAAAAGCCAGCACTTGGCAATTTTGGGAGGCAGCAACACAATAAGGAACAAAGTGCTGGGAGGAAACTTCCACATCCTCCTTTGGCAGCCGCTGCACAAAGCTTATCAGCACCGGCGCACCAGGGCACTTTCTCCCGTGCCAAACCCCAGCCCCACACCAGGAGGAAAAGGAGTCAGACAATGCAGATGCTCCAGAGGTGATGAAAGGCAATGAGGGCTCTTCTTTCTGTTAGTTGGTACCAAATCTCCAATCTTAGGTCATGCTTCTGCCAAATTTGCTGGCTTCATCCCTCGGGCATTGTCAAACACTGATAATTCAGGGCAAGGTGTGAGCAAGCAAAGCTGGGAAGAGCAACACATAGTGCTGGGAAGTCATAGGAATTAAAAGCATATTTGACTTCTCTCCCACAGGTCTCGCATGCAATTTCTAAACAACAAGCCAAATTAGGGGAAAAAAAACTATGTTGCTCAAATAAATGATATCAGATTGATGCCACTGAGTTGGTAATATGGGGAAGAAACTAAGATGTTCCTCTGCCTCTCTGTGTTTTCTAGCTACCCACAACTCCAGTTGTCCTTGGAAACAACTTCTGCAAGTCTGTATCAGCACAGGCAGATAAGAAACTGAGCTGAATAGACACCGACTCTGCTATAAATGGCAATTCACTCCTACAGTCGTAACCACGGGGTCAGGAAGCTCAACTGTTGTTGTTCAGCTTTTATTGCTTCATGGAAACACACGGAAGGAGCTGACAGGCAAAACAGCTCTTTTCTCAGGGACTTGTTGGTATCTGGCCATATAACAGAGCTGACAAAGTCACTTAGGGGGCATCCAAGTCGCAGTGTCTGCACCTCCAGCTCCATTGCAGAATTCAGCAGGACCTACAGCAGATCACAAGCCTGGATCTGGCCTCTTGCTGCAGCATCTCAGTGTAAAGGCATCTTGAATTGCTCTGGCAATGGTTATCTGCTCAGCTTTAATAAGCGTAAAACCCCTGCTAGGCCGGCTCGGCGTGTTTTTGGTGCCAGTTTGTTTGTGTGCCCACCTCAGAGAGCTGGATTCAATCAAAACGATGTCCAATTTCTGCACTGACATGGCCATGACAAATTGATTTACAGGAGGAGATGGCTCTGTGCAAGAAGCATATGGGGATAGCTGAGTCTGGTCCTTGTTTTGGACAGGAATGAAGTATGGGTAAGTGTCATCCTGCATATTTCAGCTTTTGCTGTGCTGCTCGCTGCTTTTCGGAGTGTAATTCAGAGACTGGGTAAGAGTTTTCACTTCTTCTCAAACTGCATTTCACTTCAACGTGGCTGGAGGTTATACAAATACTTATAGGAATTATGAAACGTGATCTTTTGGGGTTGAAGCAGTGTTAAATCCTCCTGATGTTTGAAATGTTTTACACAAAAAAGGACTAATAAACGTGCAAAATTTTTCACTTGGATTAGTTCCATTTCCTGTAGAAGGTGCTCTCCACCCGTAAAGAAAACTTGACAGCAGAAAACCAAGCGTCTGTTACACCGAGCAATTCGAGATGTTGTATCACCACTTAACATTTCATATTCCTTCTCAGTGCTGAAGAAGTTGTTAATCACAGACAGAGCGGTTAAAACAACCATCCAAGCAAATCAGAGCAGTATCAGGAGCACGTCCTTCCAACGCCTGCCCTTTTCTCCCTCCATCAGAAGAGACAAACTACGCGGCACATAGCAGGCTGCCTACAATGCAAGCGTAAGAACTATTTCCATTTAAGCAGTCCTCATCATATTTCACCCTGGAACTGAGTCTGAATGTTTCATCAGCTGGAAGTGCTTGACACTAATGTCTTCTGCTTGTTATTTCAGGCACTGGAGGACCAACGCGTCTGCAGCAGCACAACCTGGATTTAAGTTCTGGCAGTCCTCAGAGATGAAACCCACAATTGGCTTCTAGCAGAAATTATAGCCTGATAACTGTGGTGTTTTAACAGCCATCATCAGACGTGCTCTTGAAGGTTTTGCTGTGGGAATGGAAAGAGCAGCAGGTCCCTGCCTCCACTTCAGAGCATCCTCCGCACAATCACACAAACCCAGAGCTGGGGACAAGCACCCCCAGGACACTGCTGTGATCTCCATCCACCCAGGGAGCCTGCAGTGAGGATTTCCCAAATGCTGCCTCCAAAAAGCATGGAAACAAGCTGGGAAGGGCAGTGCCAGCAGATCCACGTCCATCCATGAAGCTCCCAGCAGCTGCTTCCGATGCCTCGGCACAGGAAAGCCACTCCAGCCTGCTGTTGCCTCCCCTTCCCAGCACAGCCTCCATCTGTTGGGGGAAAAGGCCAGCTCTGCTGCCTGTCCCAACCAGGAAGCACAAGGATGTCTGCACTTAGCATCCGGAGAACTGCTGCCTTCCTGACACCATGATCCGGCCAGCCATAGCCCTATGCCTTAAACACCACTTCCCAACAGAGACACACAGAGAGGTGACCACCCCCTGCTAACAAGACCCAGTGATGTGCACTTGATGTGTGCACCTACTGAGTATCCTGGAGAGGAAAAGATTCCCAGGATGTGTACAAAAACCCTGGTGATGTTTCTGTGAAAGATAAAGGAACAGTAATGGTGCTTCTAGCAGGCAGTAAGCAGCAGCACATCTCTCTGCTGGCTTTCTGAATGGGACACTGGCACTAGGCAATGGTCAAACCCAACAACCACTGCTCAGCAGGTTAATAACACTTCAAAAAAACTTCCCAGCAATACCATTTCTTGACTTGGCTTTGGATTGTCACCAATGAGTAGAAAGGACATGAATAACCTTGTTTTTCTCCTTGCAAAATAAAACCTTAACAAAACTTGCCCCCAGGTATGCTTTACTTTTACATCAGTTCAAATAATGATAAAAAACAGAAAGCAGTAGGCTGTTAAAACTTTGGTTTGGGGAGTTGGTACGGAGATGTGAATAACCCCAGCCCCTTTGTTTCTGCACAAGGCAGCAGCCCTGAAAGCAGTTGCCCCCCGGCCCCAAGCATTCCCATCTGTCACTTCCAGTTATGGGGCTTGCAATCGGGGCACTCCTCTGAAAGTGAATTGCATGAGAACAGCCCAGGCTGCCACAGACAAGCGGGAACAGCTTTTGTTAACAGTCTTCAAGGACATCAAACACCCCAACACAAGAGGGGGGAGTTACTGGGGGAGGAGGTAGGTGCAGCAGTGCTGGTGTCCCCTAGCAGCGCATCCCCTCCCGCACAATTGCCCCTGTTGGAGCAGGACTTACCACGCAGTAAGCCACCAGGGCTCCCTGTGCAAAGCCTGCCAGCACGTCGGTGGGGTGATGCTTGTGGTCTGACACACGGGACAGGCCAGTGTAAAATGCCATCATGATCAGTGTGAATTGCAGCAGGGGACGGAGCAGGCGGGCGCCCTTCCACGTGAACCTGGCCTGCAGATAGAACTGTGGGGAAGAGAGGAGAAACAAAAAAGGTTGTGTTAATTTGAGGCTTCTTCTGCAGCAGGGAGGAGGTAGGGCAGCTTGCACTGCTTTAATACAAAAGGGAGCGATGCTTTTGCTGGGTTCCCTGAAACCACAAATAACTTAACACCACCATTTACCTACTGAAGCAGAATTAACAGAAAGATGATACAGGGGAAGCACTGCATTAGTGGATTTAGCTTGTTTGGCTGTTGCATAAACATTATATTTACCCCTTTTTTGAAAGAATATGCACCAGGCTCTTCAGGGGAAATGAAACATCATGTCCTTGGAACAGAGCAGATGCTCCAAATTACCCAAACTGTTGTTAGCCAATTAGCATGGAAGAGAGCAGTACCAAAACAGCTTGGTGCTGGCTAACAGGCATTATAATTCTGGGGAGTATTTCTGCAAACCACTCAGAGCCTGGGAACAGGGCCACATCCCCATTGCACGCTCCCTACACCATGCAAACTGGTCCATGCAATGCAGTGGGACGAGCTGTAGCTCTTGGGTCTCCACAGCACCCCACATATCTGCAGCCTCCTGGGCTGAATATCCCTGCATTAGGCCACTTCTCTGCTTTTTGCAAGTGATTTCTGTGCCTGGGACTAAGATGACTCTCCAATCTCTTTAAAAGTCTCCAAAAACAAAAAACAGCATTTGTTGAGTATCATTTCTAATGATATACAGTATTCTACTATTGCCATGGGTTAGGCTCAGGAATACTTCCAGATCCAAGGTACAGTGCAAAACTCAGTTTCCAATATGTTATTGTAGAACAAAAATAGCTCTGAGTATTTTATCATTTCAACTGTTACTATTAGTTCTACCAGGGAAGTTTGAAACCTAATAGCTTCTAATACCATTGTATGATTCTATGGTCTTACTTCAGGCTTTGTCCCATCAAACCCTTTAAGAAAGGGATTTGCTGCTGGATCATCTGATGTCTGTCCTTTATGCACAGCTCTCAAACTAAACCCCCAATCTTGGACTAAGCAGGTAAGTTATGGTTGAAAAAGCAAAGTATCAATTAAAAATTAGCAATGAAAAGCACTGAATTTGAACACACAAAGTAGGCAGTATTTGGAGGGCGAATAGTTCTATAAAACAAGGGAAAACAGCAAACCTGAGTGAGATCTGTGCTTTGGTCAAAATGGCATCAACTAGATTATATTTGGATTTTACATTTTCTTCAGAAACAATCACAGAACTGCCCAGCCTCTGCCTGAGTCCCCTGGCTCCGTTACCTCCTGCTGCAGGCACTGGCCAAAGAGGTCAGAAACCATCAGAGCAAAACACATTTCTACTGCAATGTCCATTCCCCAACTTGCATGCCACTTGCACACCATCCTCACTGAACCTCATTGAAACCAGCCCAGGAATTCAAAACTTATCAGGATCTGCAGGCTGCCAGGCAGACAGACAGATGCGGATGGTGGGGTTGCCCCAGTCCTGTTTGCATAGGAAATGGCACTGAAATGGTGCAAGGGTTTGTTTGTGTACTGATTCACTCCTTCCACAACACGACCCTGGGTCGTGTATTTTGTGCATATGCTTTAAGCGTTTATGAAGGTAGAGAAGCACTGCACTGTATATGCTGGGAGACACCAAAGCACCCAGTGCTAATTGACACATTTCTCTGAAAATCTGCTTTTTTTGACCACCTGGAAGCTAAAGTCTGCTAGGTTTGGATGGGAACAAGGGGCTGGATGGAGCCCTTCCTTGGAGGGGTGGGGAGCAAGAACACAGCCTGGCTCATCTCCTCCACAGCTCATTACAAGGCAGCAGGAGGCAGGAGCAGCAGCAGCCACAGGAGCAGCCTGGAGAAGGGGTGGATGAAGTGAAGTGAGGTCATGTAGAACCTGAGTTTGTTTGGAGCTCCCATCTACTGCCTGGCTTCTAGCAGGGGCTGAGTTACCACAGAGCAGATGGCTTAAAAGACATCATTTTGCTTTTCTCCTGCCAGGGGACTTCCAAGTGTTGGTGGGGACAACCCACAGTCACACACAGCCCATTGGGGAGGAGTTGGTATGGGATGTAGGCTGAGAACATCACCTCCAGTCCTCTGGGGCTTTCTGCCACCCAAACATCCCATCCTGTTCACACTCTCCCCACCACAAGTCTGAATTCCATCAACCACATCCCTTAGTCACTCTAAGGCTTCCTTCTGGGAAGTGGCCGGGCTTGTTCCTGACCTGCAGTTACCTCTTTCTCCAGCCCCATCTGTACCCATACCAATATGGGGCAAAAGCCCTCAAACCTAAACTCAGCCCTGTGTAACACCCAGCCTCGTCAGGGCAAAGCCAGCAGGAAGAACTGCAGAATCCAGCTTTTAGCACCAGGTGCAAGGACAGGAGGGCCAAGACCTCCCAGCACCAAATGGAAGAGCTGGTTGCCTTTCCCACCCCGTTGAGAATCGCCATCGGTCCAGCAATGCAGGTCACACCTCAGCCCTGGCCTCTGACAGAAATCCACTTTATTCCCTTACTTAAGTTATGGCTAAGCTTGAGTCCAAGTCTACAACCATCTTCACACGTTCACATCATCACTCAGCAGCACAAGGGCACTGGGGCTTTCTCTGTCCCTCAGCAAAGCCATGGTTGTCCAGACAAAAAATCAGCAACACCTGTCATTTTCTTTATAAACCAATAGACCACAGTGAAATCCACTTTGACCTGAAGGCTTCAACCTCCCCCACTGACACTCAATAAATACATAAGCTACTCTCATTTTCTCCAGAATCAGTCAATAAATTGGGATATAATTTAATTTTTGTTCACTCTCCAAGTGGCTGGCTGTGATTTCAGGAAAGTTCTTGCTGTAAAACAATTCAGCATTATGATCTCAGGTGTTGGACAGGCGTGTAAAGCCCCAGTAGTCCCCCAAACACAGATACACAAACCCAAGGTGTGGGTCAGGTCTGGAGCTGTGCATGTAGTGAGCTATTACAGATCTCCTTCCTCAGCCTATTATAAATATGAATTATGGACTCACTCAGCCAAGGAGCAACAAAGCAAGGAAAATTAAGACAAAGAGGATTACCCAAGCATAATTTCCCCTTCTAAGTTTCTATACAAAGGACTGATGTTAATTTGGGACTCTTGGTGACAAGAAGGCTGCAAGAAACAGCCCTGAATTCTCATTGTTTATAACCAACTCTCAGAAGCTTTGGCTATGCAACAAGTGCCTTTCCATGGGATTTCTCCCCAAAAATTCTTCCAGAAGTTGGTGGAATCATATTTCCCTATTGAGATCCCATGACCAAACCAAATGCGTAGGCTGGCCACAGGGCTTGATGCTAAAATAGGGCGCTTGCCACTGTGCCAAGAAATGGGAACGCCGTGGTCACCCACTGCCCTGCTGCTCCTGCCCAGCCATGAGCATCCTTTGCAGACCTAACACATGCCAGCAATGGTGGACTCTGCATTTCTCCCCACATTTCTGGGGTTATTCCTCCCCACAACGGCATTTCCTAGCATTCTTGAGGTCTCCAGTTAGATCCTACTTGCAGGCATCCACTATGCTATCCACCATAAACCTGTTTTGGAGCAGGGGATTATGCATACCCACGCATCACTGATGGGCATATATATATATACACATACAAATACACACACACACTCAGCACACCTCCAATGAAAATATCTTTCTGCTCATGTATGGACACTGCATTTTGAACGCAGCTTGATTTCAAGCGTGGAGTGATGCAATACCTTTTAATGAACCAACTAAAGTTTTCTGAACCCACAAAGTCTGTTAGGTGGGATGAAGGACTTAAAAACACCATCAGGCAGAATGAGCTGCAAAAGCAATGCCAGGAAGTGACTTATCCTTGAAAAAATGAAGTATTGTTTAATACAGAACTTGGATGTTGCACTTAGGACACAGCTGAACCTCTGCAGCACGCACTCAGCCCTGCAAATGCCTTCAAAGTACCTTTGCCACCACCAATGCCACAGTTTGCAAAGCTTCCAGCCAGTTCCCATAGCACCATCACCAACCTGCCACTACACCAAAGCTCTGCCACCTGTAACCTCTAAAAAATTCACTCAGTTGGGCAAGACAGCAAGGTTTAGTTTGCACTAAAACAAAAAAAAAAAAACACCCAAAAACCAAAAAACACAACCCTGGGATAACCTGGGATAATATAACCTCTCTCTCTTTTTTTTTTTTTTTTTTCTAATTTATTACCAGCCTTTCCAACATGACAAATTTTCTGCCTGAGCTCCAGAGCTTCTTTTCGCAATGGGATTTTTCTGGTGGTGGTCAAAGAGCCAGAGTGACAGCACAACTGCTGGTGCTAACAGGCAAGCCATTTTCTCACCCTGATACGTACTGCATAATGCTGTCTGCGTCCCAAGTTGCCCTTTTCTCCCTTAAATTTGTGTCCAAATGTTGGGTGTAATTTTTCCCCTGAGTTTTTAAGGCACAGCACAACTGAACAACTGGTCAGATGGAGCCTGCTACCAGCCCTAAACCAGTAAAATATAAAAGAAAATCAGTCTTAGGGGAAAAAAAAATCCCTCCACAAAAATGGGTAATTGGGGCAGATGAGGAAAAGAGCAGAAGCTGCTGGTTGCCAAGAGTTCCAGTGCTCCCACGTGGGGACAAGCAAAGGAGATCAGAGACAGCTTTTTGCTCCATGGCACAGCCCCCAGAGTCACACAGGGGCACTTTCTAAGCCTGTTGCAAAGTTGAAAGAAAATCAGGCAGCAAAGCTGCATTAGAGAATGAACCATGGATTTTCCCACGTGTTGAAGGCATGCTGCGGTTATGGGGTCTCCAGCCCAATGTCACCAGTGCCCTACTCCTGCATTCCCATTTTGCATCTTGCTTGTTCCAAATCTTAGAATATGCCAAGTTGGAAGGGAACCCATAAGGATCATCAAGTCCAGTTGATGGCTCCACAAAGAAACACCCCAAAATCAAGCCCTATGTCTGAATGCGTCATCCAGCCGCTTCTTGAACTCTGGCAAGCTAAGTGCCATGACCACTTCCCCAAGGAGACCAAAACTCAACACAGTATACTCCAGGTGAGGCCACACCAATGCAGTATAGAGCAGGACAATCACTTCCCTCATCAGCTGATACAGTTGGCCTTCCTTGCTCCAGGACACACTATTGACTCATGTTCAACTTGCTGTCAACCAAGACCCCCAAATCTCTTTCAGTAGGGCTGCTCCCCAGCATCTCATTTCCCAGTCTGTACATATAACCAAGGTTGCCTCTTCCCAGGTGCAGAATCTGGCACTTGCTCTTCAATTTCATGAGGTTGGTGATTACCCAGCTCTCTAATTTGTCTAGATTCCTGTGCAAAGCCTCACTACACTTGACAGAGTAAACAAAAACCCTTTCAATTAAGGATCACCAGCAAACTTGTTCAAAACACCTTCTCGTCCATTCAAGGCATTTATGAAAACATTAAAGAGAACAGACCCTAAAACTGAGCCCTGCAGAACACACTGGGAACTAGCCATCACCCTGATGTAACTCTATTTACTAAAACCAAATGCTGGCTTTTCAGAAAGAAAAAAAAAAAAAAAAACCACCAAAAAAACCAAACTGGTGAAGCAGAGCAGTCTGTAGAGTCTGTAAGGAGTTCAAGTCAGTCAGTAAACAGGTCAAGTTCCAGCAGCTTTGGCCAAAGCAAACAGGCAGGATCATGGGATGGGGCTGAGCACTTGCTGATGAAGCCCATGTTTGTCCCCTACTCTGAAAGATCACAAGGTTGGAAAGGACCTACAAGATCATCTAGTCCAACCATCCTCCCATTACCATTGCTACCACAAGCTGCTAAACCATATCTGGTTTCAGATGCTGCATAGCAACAGGTGATGATGCTGGGCAACAGGTGAGGAATCAGGCTGGGCTTCCAAGAAGGCCTCAATCTTAAAAAATAAGTAATATTTGCTACGTATTTGGGGAAATAAACACCACCAACTAAACGTGGACTGGCAATACTTGCTGTTTTCATATGTTAGGCTTCAAAGCCAACTTATCTGCCTGCCTGCAGAACAACTGTAAATAAATACTGCCCCTCCTGAAGCAGAGCAAGTGATGATTTCCAAACTCAGCTCGGAAAATTTTGCAAAGGCAGGACAGGAGGGCTGAGCCTTCTGCAAAGCATCACCACGTCACCTCCAGCAGTGGGGGATGCTCACCCACATCGCCATCCACTGCCCTTCGGGGTGTGCAAGCGGAGCTGAGCCTTTGCAGGGGTGCTCAGTGCTGAAGGAAGGGCTATTTTTGTGCAGTGATTTTTTTGTCAGTGGGGAGGGGAAAAAAAAATAAAGAAGCTGTGGCAGGGAGCTGGTTTCTGTTTTATTTTCTGCCTCATCCTCCCCATGCTGGCTTCTAATAAGGGGAATGCAGTGGGAGCAGCCAGCTTCTTCCACAGCCCATCACCTGGCTGTGCTTCAACCTCATTATTGTAAGTCGGCTGGGAGGAGGAAAGGGACGAAATGTTTCCCAAAAAATCCAAAGTGTTTCAAGAGTGGGGGAAAAAACGTAGGGGGAACAAAGGAAGAATTTAAACCCTCCCCCCACCCCTTACACTGCCTGGAAAGCTTAGTAATTAAATTAAAGAAACAGCTGCCAGCCCAGGGAGGGCAAATCCAAGGATTAAAAGCCAAGAGGGAGCAATGGTAATTTATCTTTTCAGAAGGGAAAGTAAAGAGATGGGGGGGAAGCAGTGCTCAGAGATAAATAAAAGTTCACGTTTAATGTTTTTACAAGCACAGCGCTGTTTCTTTGCTTGCCAATCTGAGCTTATGGGAGATGGAGGGTACAGACCTTGAATGGAATCTGAAGACTTTCTACTTACTGTTATTTTTAAGCACAAATCACTACCCAAATCATTCCCCCCCCCCCCCAGCCCCAAAACTTTCATTCAGGGTCTTTAGTGGGGACTGGGGAGTGGTACAGGGAGCAGCCCTGCCAGGAAGCACCTTGGCATGCTGCAGCAGCCCCAGCCCCACACAGGAAGGACAGAAGTCATTTGTCACCAACAAGGGGAAACACGGCTCAGCCCTCTGTTCTGGATCCGGCCAGGCAGGCTGCTTCACCTGCTCTGCCTCCCCTTCATGCCTAACAGAGTTGCAACAGTGCATCCACCTCCACAACCAGTGCAATATTTCAGTACCCTCCAAACGGTCCCCAATGGAAATCACAGTTAGGGGTGAGCAAAATAGCTCAAGTCATCTACAGGGTTTATAGGACTCTGATTTAATTGCAGATTTGGCTGCATTCAAAAGCTGCACAGCTCAACCATAACTGGGAGTCTCCATCCCAAATAACACCATGGGGTCCAAGAGTGGAATTTTTTTCCCCACCACTGGCACATTTAGACTCTTAGAATCTTTAGATTCCCCAGTCCTCGTCATGTCACTACTGCTACTGAATGTGGGTGAACACCTTGAGTGGGGAACTGGGGTTGAATCAACTGAGGTCACTTACCACCAAATACAGCATGGTGTAGAGGGAGAAGGATGCATGCCCAGAGAAAAAGGATTTCCTGCAAAACAAAGCAGATGCTAAGAACCAATCATCATAGCATTCCTATATGACACTGTAATATTATGTAAGATGTGGTAACCTGCCCACTGCTACCACCAGGGTGCCAAAACAGAAGGAATCACAACCCCCATTTTCTGAGTTATTAAAACCCTGTTATCCACCCTGCTCGTCCCTCAGGCTGAAAATGAATGGACGGACAGGATGCATGCATTGTTTGTCCCTTCCTGGTCTATTCGTGGGACAGCACAGTTATTTCCAGGACAGCACGATAACTCATCATCTCGCCTCAAATAGCCAGGAAACTGTAAATAAATGAAAAGCAAGCACTTCCCCAGTTGCTTAATTACAGCACTCTCCTAAAAACGTCAAAATCGGGCGTGTGATGGGTTTGATGAAGAGTGTGAAAGGGAGGTGCTGGTAGCCTCTCCTGCTGGGAAGAAAAGCTGTCCCTGCTGCACCACGGGCTGGATAGCTTACATCCAGTCAGCTCTGATGGTGAATTCCCACATTGAGTAACCTCTCATGAAACAATGGTGTAGGAGTAAAGAAAAAGGAAAAGGAATATTATTCAGCTGAACCCTGTGACTCCCAAGGGAAACTGCCCGTTGCTAGCAGATGGAATTACAGCCTTCCCAGAGTCAGCAGCAGCAAAACCACCTATTGCTGGCAGAAAAACCCTGCCAGAAGAACGCTTTGCATGAGGCATAATATTGGCATCGGCAACAAGACAAGTGCTCTCACCTGGCTTCCTGGACCTTGCTGTCACTTCCTCTGCAGGTGTAGTTCTGGATGTAAACCCCCTTTGAGCAGTTGATGGTGGAGAAATCCAGGTCGCAAACCTCAAGGAAATGTGGCCGCAAGCGCCCAACGGACACTTTGGCAATGTCTGTGAAGGACTGGCTGATGGCACAGCCAAAAACAAAGCAGCCCACTTGCTTGTAGAGAGCTGCCACGTAAGGGTTCTGGATAAAGGAGTGTGACTTCTCCTTTAGGTAGTGGATGCGGTAGAGCTCTCCTGTGATGATCTGTAGGGGACAAGGAACAGAGAGAGGCTGTGGTTAGAGAGCAGGAAAGATGCTTTCCAAAACTGGCTGAGACAGCAAGATGAAGACGTGCCAGATTGCAAACCAAACCAGGAGAGACAAATTAATTCTTACAACAGGCTGGTGAATGATTTGTCAGCTTAAAGCCAGAGCTGCGTCTCACAAAGGCAGAAAATCTGAACAGTGCATATTTATCTGTAAATCCCTTCTTGACAGCCAGTGATGGTCTCAGCTGGGTGGGACTGCACTGTCCATGCACACCCTGTCTGCATCCTTGCTTTTTACACCAGATGAAGTGTAGCTCAGGCAACCTAGAGAAAGCTTTCGCTATGCAATGCTCTGAGATAGATCAGTGCCTCCTCTTCCTCAAGCTCACACCTCACCCAGCCCACTACAGACACCTCCAAGCATTTCCAACCAGCTCCTGGTGCTCTTCATCTTCCCCTTTTTACCGTCTCCCAGGAAAAGATTGTAAATTATACTCCATAAAGTCTTGTTTATGGAGAAACTCCAAGAAAAAAAAAAAAAAAGACAGATCTAGGCTTAGTGCATTGATATATCTTTACGTAAGTGAAATTGTGCCCCAGATCTATAAATTTTTATTTCCACGACTTTGTTAACATAACACAGATAAATAATCAGTGACTGTGTGTGAAGGAGAAGCCACATTCACTGCTCCTTTATTCAATTGATGGTGGGGTGGGGAATGACTTCCAAACCTGTCTTTCTGAAATCTGTGAATGTAAAGGGTAAGACTCAAAACTGTGCTTTCTAGAATCTGGACCCAGATTTGCTGCCAGCAGACTCCATTTCAACCATACAAAGCCTTCATAAACACCAGGTATCACTGGGGATCTCAAGAGGTTCTGCAGTTGCACAGCAGCAAATGATGCACTTGTGGTGCCACCAAAGGCTTTGACAATATGGCCATAAATCACTGTCACACAGCAGAGCTTCAGCTTCTCACAATCCCAAACACTTAAAGACAGCTTAATGAAAACCAGGTGGTGAAACCAAGCCAAAACTTCTTACCTCTCCCAAAGAGGCTTAAATTGTTCTCCGCCACGTTACACATCTAGCTTTTGAGCTCCAGATTTACAGCTTTAGGATTTCATTCATTACTTTAAATGTTTTTATACCTGACCGATAAAGCAAGGCAGGCTTTGGGGATGTTGGGTTTTTTTTTTTGGTGTGTGTTATTATTTTTTTGGCTGCCCCCTCGTCTCTGCCCCTCTCTGCTCTAGTCACAAGGACTGCGATACGTAGATCCAACCATCAGGAAAAATGCCTTCATGTTAATCCCTTTCTGGAGCAGGCAGCAATATTCCTGCTGGTGTGGCAGCCTGCCAGCAGTGTGCAGGAGACAAGGCTCTCCTGCTTACCTTTTAAAAAGCTTGGCACAATGTTTGGAAACTAATAAACTGGAAAAGTATGGCAATTAGACTGAGAGGAGATGAAGCTGTATCATTGTTTAAACTCACCCAAACCGTGGCTTGAAAAAAAAAAACAACAAAGGTTGACCTAAGACATCTGAAATCACAGCTAAGCAGGCTTTATCAAGAAGAGATACAAGGATAATAATAAAAAATAAAGACCAAGCCAGAGCTTCCAGCAGCCAGGCGCAGAAATATATCAGGCAGCTGCACCATCATCCTGGACTTACACGTAAAAGCCAACATGTACTCTAGGAAGCCTGATCATGACCAAGTATTGCCTGGAGAACTGGAGCTAACCAGCTCCAGTGTCATGTTAATCCTCAAGGACCCCAAACCATCATTTTCAGAGTCTTCATCTCCATTCTACCTTCAAGTCCAAGCTGGGAGCCAGGAAATCTCCTTGCATGAGAACCACAGAAAAATGCTAGCATGTCTAATTCTCTTCCAAAGGAGGCAACATCGGGGCATCCTGGATGGATGAACGTCATTGACACTGTTGGGCCCAAGGCCATTTGGAGACTATTGCTCTCGCCTGATGCATCTCCCTGGGCTCACTCCCATGCTTGTGCCAAAACCTCATGGGCACATGGTCTCTGCCTCTACTGCACCGCAGCTGCTGTCCACAGCCTCCCAAAAGCCTAATTATGAAAAGGAAATTGTGACAAGGCTTAAAACTCCCAGATTTTGCAGAGGGGAGACGAGCTGACTGACGGGTGACATCTGATCCTGGCAGATGTGCCATTGCTCCCAGCTCACAAAACAGATCCACGTAAAGCCCAGGCTCCTGGCCTCGGAAAGACATGTGACCATTTTTAGCAGGGACCAACAAAAGTCTGGGGATTAATACTTTTCTCTCACCTTCGGTGGTCTTGGTACGAGTATGCAATACTCGTAGCAGATAGTAAACTGTGTGCCCTTTTCCCCGTTTTCAGTTTTTCTGTCCTTTTTGCCATTATCATAATTCATCAGCAGCAGCCCAATTAGCCTGTAATTACTTACAGAGCCTTTCTAATCCCTTAGATCTTTGCAGTATCGTTCTCCGTGTCTTAATCACATCGAAGCCTTCAATTGTGAAACAATCAGCTGATCCAGCTGAATTTCCTGGGAGATCTGAGTTACACATTTTCTTTGGTATTTTCCCATAGGTACTCACAACCTGTCAGGTGAGGGGCTGGGGCTGCACAGCAGTAGCAAGGAGGAACAGTATTTCCCATCCCAATGATGGTCAACCCATTTTTTTTTTTTTTTTCCACCTAAGATGATCAAATTAATTCTCCAGCGGGAAGAGTAGGAGATGGGAGCACACAGTCTGCATCTTCTGGTCATCCAGAGAATTATTAAATCAGTAAGCATATAGGTACTAAAACCAGATCCATATCCTCTCATGCCCTGATGACAGCAAAGGTCTTCACCTCTGCATTTACTTCGTAAGTTGCCCAAGTGTCCTCAAGACATTTAGAACATGACCTGGACCTTATTCAGGGTTAGGCTGTCCACCACACCACATAAAAGAAAAGATGTGAAATTCTGGCATTGCCACCCAAAATGCCATCCTCCCGGCCACTGACCTCACTTTAAGGCACAAAGGTTTGAGGAAAAAAAAGAAAAGCAGCAGAGTCAGTGCTTTGTGGATTTGGAAGGAATTCCTATTATGCTACAATAATTCTGGTATCTGGGTTACATCTGAAAAAGAGGTCAGACTGACTCGAATTTTCCATGCGTGCTGCCACAGCACTGAAGTCTGTTTCTTCGATTCCTCGTTAGGCTTTTGTTTCACTCACCAGCAAATAACGGAGCTTTTAAATTTACCTTATTAAGTTACATTTGTTGTGGGCACAGTGAAACCAGTGCAGAAACGTCTAATTCTTTGGGGATTTTCTTTTTCTTTTAATTGACCTGCTATTTCGTGGCAGAAAGCTGATGGATCACATAGGCAGCTGATTATGTTTCCAGTTTCTGTTCCAACTCCTGTATTTGCCACCGCCTCATTACTGATCTGAAGCACACTCTGCATGCAGCCAGCATGACGATAGCTCGGGCAGTAATGCGAAAATGAAAGGCTTTCTCATTTCATTTTTATGGCTTTTCCACACTTGGGGGTAATTCACCTGCAGGGTAAAACTCTGCTGTATTTATGGAATCGGGGAGTTGTCACCTTTTAGGGGTTGTTTTGAGGAGGATGGGGATGAGGAGGCGGCAGTTTTGGGGACCTGCGTTGCTAAGTGAATCTATTTGGTCAGGAAATGATGGAGATGTGGGCACAAAGTGGCAGATGTGCAGCACATCCCTCCACTGCCTGCAAGCAAGCCTACAGCCCACTGATATCAAAACAAGAGGAATGGGATGGCTGGCACTTCTGCTGGCCATCACGGATGGGAACATCAGTGCTTCACAAGAAACCAAGGTCAACACAGCCAAGCTATTCTGGGAAACATTAATGAGATTTGATTATTTTGGATGGTCCCTTCTAACTGAACTATTCTATTCTATCCTATTCACCACTCTCAGCAATGAGGCTGAGATGGGTTATTACCAAAGCAGGTACCACAGCATGCTAAAACATCCTTCAGCAATGACATTGCTCCTGCAAGAAAGGATGAAAATCAGGGGGGTGAGGGGAGAACAAGTGCATCTGACTTCTTCCTCTCCAGCACTCCCAGATGAAGGAATGAGGAGGCAGCAGCATCTCTGGGAAAGCACCTGAGCTGTGCTGGCAAGCCAAGAAAACGTAGGTACTTTTCATGAAGTAACACTGGGGAATTTCATCTGCAGATGGAAGTGTTTGACTGCAAGCCAGGAGACAGGTCCTGCCTGAGCACGAGACATGTGGTGGTGGAAGGAGGCTCAGCTCCATAGGTTGAATTCAGTTTTTTGGCTGAAATAATAAAGCTCTCAATGGGCAATCATCTCCTAGCACAGCTCTAGGAAAGCTGGCAAGAGAAAAAGAAAGGAGGAGACGTTGGAAAGGTGGCATATTCAGTACTTTTTACAGAGAGGGTTCTGGGAATGTGCTGCCTGCACTAGGTTTTAATTGTCTTTTTAATATGCCAGTATTATACAAATCTCTTTAAGTATAATACTAACCTGTGAAACTTTTCCAGGTACTGGTTAGCTGAAAAGACACATCTTTCTATTATTATTTTTTATCCTCATAAAATAGGCAAATATCAAGAGTTATTTGAATAGGAACAAACCATGCCAAGTCCTCACTGATTCTTCTTGCATCTACTCTGAACTCCTACTGCAGGGTGAAAAAGCTCCTGCAGAGCTCCCAGACTTGCCCAAACAGCTTTGAGCCTGTTTACCAGTTTCAAGAGTAATCTCATTCCTCTCATTACAAGCTTTCATTTGCAAATGTTTACTGCTTACATGGAAGTCAGATAATCACCAAGGAGATTCACACTACAATGCATAGCATGGACATATCTGCAAAACCATGTTAAACCCCAAATGTGCTGGTGGGGAACAGGCTGCATCGTTTTGCTCTGCTTTCCATGAAATTCAGAAGCTTTGACTTTCAAGAAGATGTCCACAACATACAGGCTTTTTAGTATCTTTCCTTTGACAAGCTCACAGCTCTACTGAGTTTCTGAGCTTGGAAAGCTCTCATAACCACCCCAGCTTGACAGTGTGCCTCTGATTCAGCATTCCAGGCAAACCCGCGTCAGTGCCATCAGCTAAGGTGTAACAAAAAGGTGTTGGAGATGCCCAAGGGGCAGAAGAACAGATTTCAGAGATGGTACTTACGGCAAGGATGGCAATGAGGATGCCTGCAGCACACAGCACCGCGTCGTTGATTGTCTCCATTGACTTCAGTGGGTACCTGATGCTGTCATCGTCGCAGTAGAAGCCCCGCTGATAGGGCTGGATTGTGCTTGTTTCGATGATGAGGAAGGGCAGTCCAGCTAGAAAGACAAGGAGACAAAAACCAAAACCATCAGTGATATAAGGCAAATAGGAACAACCTTCTGGTAAGGCAAAATAAAATAAAATGACCAGGTACCTTTCCTGATGCTTTTCTTTTTGTATTGCTATCTTTCTGAAGAGAATTTGGGTTTTGTTTTTTCGAGTCTTGTAGGGAAAAAGCATCTCCCCTGATATGGTTATCAGATGTCTGCAGTGCCTGGTTTCAGTTAAACCTCATGCATTGCAAATATTAACTTACAGGAATGGACCCCAACAGCAATCCCTCTGCATAAAGCCATGAAAACAAATCTGGCACTTTTCTCTGTGGAGGGCTGATGCCTGCTGCCCCCAGGCAGGACGAGCTGTGCAAACAAACACTGAGAGATCGGGTAGCAGCCCAGTGCTTCCTACCTGACCAGCCCCACTAAACTCAATCCATACTACTTCTAGGGCTCTGAAGCCCCCCTCTGCTCCTTCCTCTCTATTTACAAGGTAGATGTATATTTGTACCTGCAACCGGTCAGCTCAGCTGGAGCTCTGCAGAAGGCACAAAGCAGATGGGCTCAAAAACCTGCAGCCAATGATTAAGACACACGAAGGGAGACCTCAAGACTGCTGTGTGAGTGAAACTCCATATTCTTATTATTTTGGAGAAGCACAGCATTACCTCAAGCCTCAAAAGACAGCACTGAGGTATTTCCCAGTTGCTTTGTGCAGGGCACACACATTCATTCCTCATGCCTCAGCTTTCCCATCTTTGCTGTTAAGCCCATCGCCAAGAGAAGAGATACATCCCCATCCAAACAAGCCCCAAATTCCCAAATCTCATTCAGAATAGATCACAAAACACAATCCTCCTCCCACTCACAGACCGAAACCCGGGCAAAGCACCTAACACATCACAGCTCAAGCATGTCAAGGATTGGGCCAAGGCAAAGCAGAAAAACAATGAGGCACAGCTGAAGGAAAGCAGTGGATGTCATTTAGGTGACGATGCACAGTGGTTCAAAGTTTTAGCCAAAACAGCGGAACTCGTGCCCACATCCTGCTAAAAGCACATAGGTGTATTTACTGACCACCAACTTGCTTAAGCTTCCCTTTGTTCAAATTGAGAGATCAGACAGGCTTTCCTTATTAAGATAAGGAAAATGAAGCACTATTTGGTTCTGATCAATATTTGTCTCCAATGCATTTGCAGTGATCTTGTCTGCTCAATGTGATTTGCAAAGGCACTGTATGAGTTAGCATGTCATCAAAATAATGTTCTCCATCTCAAGATGAGCAAATTTTCTTTCATCTGGCTCCTGTTGCTCTACATTAAAAGATTTACTAGAATTATTAGGGGCTTTTGTCAGTCTTTAAAAATGAAGGACAGCCCCAATCACCGATTTTCCCAGTCTGAGTGAAAGGGGACCAACGCACACTGACCTGAAGCCCTTTTGGAGCATTCAGAGCCATGGCTCAGGACTCCCTTCTGACCATCTCCAAAACTTCTGGGAATGGGTTAATCGTAAGCAGGGCAGCACAGTTTCCAACAGATGTGAAACGGCAAACAAAGGTGTCAGACCTGCCTGCCCAGCTCAGATGTGGTAAATAAAATCAGACACCTCACGTGAATCCAGTTGATCTTCATTCCGCTATTTAACTGTTCTGAGGCACAGCCAGCTTTGGCCCTGAAAAGCACCTCTGATGCCAGCAATATGATATTAATAGGCCACTTAAAGAATCCTTATTTTCCCAGTGAAAAATTGCAGCAGAAGAACTAACGGCACTCGGCGAGATCCAATTTCACATGCACTTGAAGCAGCAGCCTAACGGTTGAACTCGAGGAGTAGACGTGCCACGGTTACGTGGCTTATTGTTATTTCTCCAGTTCCTCTTGTTAATAGCTTTCACATGACAGGTCTGTAAAACACATGTTCCCACAGACAATAAAATACATCTGAAAGCTAAAACTGGCTTAAAATAAAATAAAAAAAATTATTAAAAAAAAAAAAAAAAAAAAAAGACAATAGTGTTCCTATACATGATGTGAACCCAGGAATAATAAAGATTTGTTTTCCCTTCATTCATTGAACAGCATGGGGTAGTATTTCCGCATTTCAATTATATGTAGGTTTGCCACAGCTATAATAAGAGTATAACTGACCTGTATGGTATACATTTTCTTTAAGTGCACATAGGCATAGTTTAGAAAACCCAATGGTTTTGTTTTCTCTCCTACAAACTTGTGGTTTAGTGGGATATTGCCAATCGACTCTTGACATTTTTCCAGCAAAACGGTAACCTCAGATTCCCCCTTTTTTTTTTTTCCCTTTTCCCCTCCCCTTTTTCAACATGAGAAACATAAACACACACCAGAACTGAACGGATATTACTTAGAAGGCACAACGTGCCTTTGATTTTGAGGGTGGAGTGGGAGGCTGTTCTTGCAGCAGTAATTACCCAAACAACAGAAGACCCCAGCCCATGCTGGACAGCAAATTACACTCAAGATGGTTCTCCTTCCAAGAGATTATTGTTGGAGCACGGCTTGCCTACTGGACTAGGTCACCATCCACGTTGTTTGTTTTTTTTTTTGTCTGGCAAGGGGCTTTCAGTACAGAGAAGACTGAAGGAGTTCCAAAAGGCAAGTAGAGAATGGGTTTTGCAGAAAACATGAAGGGAGTGAAGTCTGGAAGAACACAAAATTAACTGTGGAGCAAGATATCTGAAAGATCCCTCAGCAAAACACCACTGAGATGTTATTCACACCAAGAGACAAAGGTAGCTAGAAGTGGGGTATAGCCCCACACACCCTTAGAAAAGTAAGAAGTGACACAGGGCTATACCACGGAGATTAGGTTTGTCCTCATGACTTCAGATGCCCCAGTATAACCCAGTTTAATGTTTTAATAGAAAAATAAAGGTTATGCAGCCCTGGCTGTAGTGACCTGCATCTACAGTTCAGCATCTGCACTCCCTGTAACGGTGCTGGTTTTCCAACCTCTACCATTTTCCACTCCCAGTCACGGAACAGAACTCCTGAGAATAAACAAGGTATGTCTCACAAGGTGGCAATGAACAGTGATATGCACTGAACAGATTAACAGTCCTACAAGGCAGGAGAAGGTGCTACGCTCATTTTTGGATGGTCCACTTTCTTCAAAAAATGGTCCTGTTTGGCCACTCTGTGGCTACAAGGCAACAGCATTCTCAGATCTGCTGCAAGATCTTTTTAACAAAACTGCAGAAGGGCCTCGAGTCCTCCCTAGTACTGGTATCATCATGCTGAGAAATTACACAGCAGCCATTGGACCATCCCCTAATTCGTCGAGGCCTCTGGCATATTCATACAGAACTGGGTAACCAGAGGTGCACTATTATTCCCCTTTTAAACACAAAGAAAACCAAAGCATAGAATAACAAAGGGATTTGCTTATTTCAATGCAGAAAAGGTAAATGGAGCTGAGATCACCTTTCTGAGTAGTAACAGCCCTCAACAAAGTAAAGGAAGGTTTTTTCCTCCTTCATTTAAAGGGGAATTTCTACTTTAATAACAGAACCAGGAAATCCCAGCTACATGCTTTTATCTAACTACACTGCAGGAGATCAAACGAGACTCCAAACCATGAGCATAACAGAAATCTCTCAGGGGCTGCTCCTGCCCCATCCAAACCCACAGGAGTTTTGCCATGGGTCTGCATAGAGGGCAGCCCAGTGCAGGTGTGGACACTAACGAATTGTACAAGGCACCACAGGACACCGTGAGGCTGGACATTGAAAAATGATGTTGCTTTTGTTGGGAGGAAGTCCAAATGACTTTGTGACCTCAAACCGCTGGTGTCCTACGCTAATATTGGAGGGTTTAAATTTATTTATCTTCTCATTTAATAAAGGCAATTGAGTTTGGAAAACCTAGCACCAAGGGGAAAAATATTCCTTTCCTTGATCAGCACCTTTATCAACAGGCAGTTAATAAGCAATAATCCTGGGAAGGCTGGCAGAAAGCTAAAATCCCACCCCCAAGCCCAAAGAAAATGCCTTGCAAAACCCCAAAGTACTCTGATCATCTTGAGAAGTGCAGAAAAATCAAAGGCAGAAGAAAGGGCTCAGTGTTGGGTACAGCACTTTAAATCTTGAAGCCTTTGGAAAGTTAACATTAGTGCAGATTTAACAGGGAAAAATAAAAATAGAGGAATAAGCTTTCCTTGGCCACACATTCAAAAAAAAATCATGGAGGGAACAGGAGGGGAAATGCTGTTTCTGCAGTGACCCACCCATGCAGCTCTCATCTTCCCAGCCCAAGCTTTACCTTTGCACTAAATTAAACACCCTCTCAGTACATTTTGATGGAGACTCTTTTTTTTTTTTTCCCCACCCCTTAACATCTCAGAAAATAAAAATCTTCATTCTTTAAACATGGCAGGTCAGCAGAACGTTGCTGGCCAGCTCAAGAAAGCAACGTAATTTCTAGCAAGCATTCTGTGATGGGTTTGGCTGCCAATGTCCAGGCTCAGGGCATACTTTTAAGGTTTTGGCAGATTAAAGGTCTAGCTTAATGAATAAAAAAGGTCATTAAAGAATTTGGCAGGGCTGAGTGGGGCATCTAATTCCTCATTCAAGATGTACCGTATAAATATTTGCATTCCAGCAAGTAACGGGCTATCCTTTTGAAGCAGTGGTTGATCTTGGGTACATATAAACCTTATTTGGTTGGCTGTATCTGTACAAGTGTCACAGTGCATAAAAATTAGATTAGGTGTTTTAAAGTTGGCTTCCTCAGCTGTTAGAGGAGAATTGCATCGCTGCAGATCAGGAAAAAAAAAGAAAACGCACCTCAGCTTTGGTAGCTGCTGCAAGAGTAAACCACTCTTGAAACCAGTTGACATGTACACATTGATAACATTTGATAACACAAAGAATAGAAATATTTCCACATTTCTATCATTTGAGGAACATCCTGACAATCACTATATGGCCTGAGTGTACCAGCACCATCAGAAAGAGAGGGGAAGGA